ACGGTTCCCCTCCCCTCCTCTACCACATCGGCAGCTGGGTGCTGGATAGTGACTCTCTGCACCCACTGGGCATGGTGGGGCCATCCAGCTGAGAGCATCCTCTGCCTTCCTGGCCACCCGCTGGCCTCCGAGGGAGAGAGACACAGAGAGAGAGAGAAAGAGAGACAGAGAGAAAGGAGAACAGAAGGATAAAAGAAAAGAAAAGAAAGAAAGAACAAAAAAAAGAAGAAAAAAAAGGAAAAGAAAAACCTAAAAGAAAAAAAAGAAGGAAAAAATTACATATTTTTAAAAGAGAGCACGGATTAAGACTTAAAAAAAATAATAATAAAATAATAATAATTAAGTAGGACAGTCCAAAGTAGACTTTAAGGGAAACAAAGACCCCAGGAAGTTCTGTTCTGTTTAGTTTATAAATATATATATATTTTTATTTGTTCTTTTTTGTTGTTGTTGTTTTGTTTTTTTGTTTTGTTTTGGTTTTTTGCTGTTTTTTTTTTCCTCCTCTCCTGGATATTTATTTCTTTGGTATTTTGAATAGATGTTTTAAATGATATGAACCGGACCTTCAAGAGCCTTAAATAGTTTCTTTGATAATTTATTATCATGTGAACTGTACTCACAGGGAAAAAATTATTTTGTGAGGCCAAGCAAAACTGCGCAGAGTCTATTTTTCTACATGTCATGTGTGTCCTGACTTTCAGAAAGCAAAATTCTGTACTTTCCCATCTCTCCATCACATTGCTCCTTCATTTCAGCAAGTCTAAAAAACAAGCAACCAACCAACCAACCACACAAAAAAAGACAAACTTCATGGGGGTCCGTAAATTATATTTTTATACACAGAATTGTAAATTAGATTTTTTTGAGAGATCAATGCTGAACTGAATCACATTTCATTTTTTGAAATAGTGTAAAATATGAGAATATATTATTTTAATTTAAATAGTTTCAGATGTAACGTCATTTCCTGTATTGTTTTCCATGTTTTGCTTTGTAAAAACACCATTTAGGCCACACTCATGGAAGTCAAGACTGTTACACAAACTTTTTATTTGCAAAAACCGTAAGAAACTTTGTTATTTTTAACTTCAAAAAAGAAATTTATTAGAAAATAATATTTTTTAAAAAGCGCACATGGCGGCAATTCTGTGATGATGGAGTCAGTAGTTTGTACAGAGGGGAGAAAAGGATGTTTTGCATTAATAAATTGAGAAATAACTGCTGTAAATTTACTAAAATGTATTTTTGAATATTTTGTAATAGTTTTAATAGTTTTATAGAAATAAAATGTGCCATGCACAGTCTGGTTAGTATATAATAACTAAGAGTTCCTGGTGCATCCCATTTTTTTTTTCCTTTTTGCTTATTGGTTTAGGAAACATGATGCCTAAAGGAGTGCCCATTACTTTATTTAGATATGTTGCTTACGATTTTTAATTTTGGTACTTTAATTAAGGAAATGAACCCATCACATCCACTCATAACCTGGAATCTCTTGTACTAACAATAGAACCTCACTTATTTGCATGAGCCACCAGGAGACGCGCTTCCCTTTGCCGGAGCCCCGGTCCAGAGACCACAGACATCTCTTAAAAATGATTTCTGAGGCTGTTAAGCCAACTTTGCCCTTTTGCAGCAGGTGAATCTGAAGGCAGCAGTTGCCTTCCCCTCGCGGTGGTGCCGGAGTTTAAACCGTGGGTGCCTGGAAGATGGAAATCTAGGGGAGCAACACTGACTTTGGTGAATTAGCTGTGATTCATGTGGTTGGTGCTGGAAGAACGAGCTGGCCATCGGATTTCACTTGCCCAAGTTACAATGTGGGGCTTGGGGCCACCAAGAAAAGAACAAAACACCTTTTGCAAAACCAACCCAAAAAGTGATTAAAAAAATTGTTTTGTTTTTTTTTTTGTTTTTTGAGAGATGTTCCTTAGCAGTAATGCATCAGAGTCCATCCTGAGCCATCCGTGGGTGAACATACTGGAGATGTGTTTTGGGAGACAAGTGGTGGAGCCAGCACTGCATCCCCTTCCCTGGTCCCAGCTCCAGGCCCTAGCAAGGGGCTCATCCTCACCGGGTGCCGATGAGTGAGGTTCTGCTGTGCTGCGTGCTCCTCCCTGGAGGGTTTCCAGGATCCCTCAAAATTTTTTGCAAAACACTGTGTGTGCACATGTGCGCATTTGCAATGGGACCGTGCCAGAAGGGAGCTTTTCTTGAATGTCTTCTCACCTTTTCTTTGGTTCCCATTACTCACCAGTCTAGGATGTTCATCCATTGGGCAGCCTTTTGCTTCAGAGATGCAGCCACAACCTCTGCTGGGATGGAAGGCAGCTCTAGTTGGCCTCCTGGGATATTCTTGCTTGGGGCCACCACTGGAGAGCATAGACCATGCTCTTCCACACTCAAAACCTGGGAGATTCTGGAGAAGAACCAGGAGCTGGTGGCCAAACCCCAGGCATGAGCACCTCCATATCAAACCCTAACAGATGGATGTGGTCTCTCCTTCCTGGCAGCAACTAGTTCAGGGCCACCTCCAGCCTCTGAAGTTTGGCCATGGCTGGGATGGTGAGACTTCAGTGCAACTCCTGGCATGCTGCAGCACCCATGTGGACTGCTGGGATGGGAACTGAGCCACCCTAATGCCATCGCAAGGGACTGTGGACCACTTGGTGGGTGCCAGGGACCTGATGCCCACCTGGATTGGAGTCTGCTGCCTCTGTGTCTTTGGGGTCTGATGGTGTGTCAGGGATGCAAACACGGCTGGTTTGGGGCATGTAAAAATGTGATCGTGGAACAAATGAGTCTCTGCTGTAAAGTCTGGCCTTCGTACAGCAGTGTCTGGACATCTGAGCTCTCTTTGTCTCTGGACAACGGCTGTCATTTTGTAAGGTCTTTACACTGAAAATACAACAGTACTGGAGCCTACCTTCTCGAGAGGTCAGGCAGTGGAGGTGTTTAGGGCTGTCAGTGAACAAACTTCAAGCCATTGGCTTGTGGTCTTTGGTCTAAACCACAACTGAGACGTAAAAGACCTGTTAGACCAGAGCTCACGCCAGTGTCAGGGTAGGGTATGTGCCCCAGAAGGGACCATGGCCACATTTAATCTTCACTGAAAGGCCAAGACAAGCTCAGAGCTTTGAGGTGTGAGAGAAGTTAAGATGCTGTCTTATACTAGGACCAACCTATTTCCCCAAGCATAGAAATGCTGTCCTGTGTTCTCCATCAAACAGATTTCCAGTGACTGTGTGCCTCCCTCTCACTGTGTATTTATGACATCTCTCCCTTCGTCCCCTCACATCTGGATCACCCCTCCCTGGTATTTGTTAGAAGTGCTTCGTTAGGTGGACCCATCCAACCTGTAGCTGCAGCTTTCGTATGAAGGATGTACTGTCATAACATGGTGCAAAACATTTAGGAGATGTCACCGTCCGTTTTCAGGGTCCGAGTATGGCAATAGTTTGTATAAAATGTACACATAGTGGTGGCTACAGAATAGTTTATGACTAAATACATATCTATTACTGTTAAAATATTGTATAAGAATGTACTTGAAGCTATTATCCTTGTGCTCTGTTGTCTGAATAATTAAAGAAATTACAGAGACTTCCTGAAATGTCTGTTATGTGGTGACATTCCTATTGCACCCTCTCAGCTCTGTGTTTTTCAACCCAATTACTCCAAAACATGTCATGGGGGACCTGGTGCTTGGTCC